CTGCCCCGCCCAGCCCCAGTATCTCAGGACTTAAAAATAAACAAACAAAAGCCCTGCACTCACTGGCTCCTGCCAGGCAGGGGGGTAACCCCTACTGCATGGGGGGGCTCTGCCACAAGCCCCACCGACTGCTGCAGCAGCTGGTGAGTGCAAGGGTTTTTTTTGTTTTTTTTAAAGTGCTGGGATGCTGGGGCCAGGCAGGGCAGCCATTGACAGGGCTGGGAGAGTGGGAGGGGGGCAGGGCCTGGTAGGGGTCCCCCTATGGTTCCCTCCTCCAACTCTTCCCCACCCCGGCCAACTTACCAGCAGAGTTGTGGCTGCCTGAATCACCAAATCTCCAAAGCTTTTCTGAATCAATTTGAACCTTTTTAGCGATCTCCCAATTCAATTTGGATTCGGAGGTTTGGTCGCTGAATTGGGCCAAATCTCCTCTGAATTGAATTGGTAACCGAAGCTTCTCTCAGCCCTACTGTACATGTGCTCCTGGAAAACGGCTCATAACCTGAATTTGCATATGGGGAACCCATTTTACAATGTAACAAATAGGGATACATTCCAAGACCTCAACTTTACTGATTCCCAGACCCATTTCTACCACTTTTACAAAACAATATTGGTATTCATCAATAGCAGACAGTACACACAAGCACAGGGCACTATCATAATGGGGATGGTAACTACAGAAACACGTGTCGCAGACAGCGAGTAAGGAGCACAGATCCACACAGGCATGTGTCACTCCCACAAAGCAGCTAACTTGCGGGCTTCTACCACGCTGATTGCATAAGAGTGAATTTACCTGGCATATAATGAATTTTGGGTATAAAAAGTGTCATCGCATAAGAGCAAATTCGCACATACAGAACCTGCATAAAGCGAGGGAAACCCATATGTATATTTTACTACTAGAATGCATACAGATTAATTTGTTCTTTGATAACCTCTTTTCATTTAAATCCAGCAGCCAAGAAAAATCTAACACATTCAGTTACTTTCAAAGAAAATGTGTGGGTATTGGTACCAAAAGCTGCTCAAAGGTGGGAGAAATAACACTCTCTTCCAGTTACCAAATAGCAAGAACCCTTATTATTCCATGCCAACCTTTAATTCATTTAATAATTTTTTATTGTAATGTCCCAAAAGTTGTTCTCTCATTTTCTGCAAAATAAAGGCCCCGAGCACTACCAGGAGTGACTAGAAATAACGGTCACAAGCTGGCAGAGGGTAGATTCAGACTAGACATCGGGAGGCGCTACTTTACAGTCAAGACGGCTAGGGTCTGGAACCAACTTCCAAGGGAAGTGGTCCTCACTCCTACCCTGCAGGTCTTTAAGAGGAGGCTAGATAGACATCTTGCCAGGGTCGTCTGACACCAGTACTCTTTCCTGCCTGTGGCAGGAGGTCGGACTTGATGATCTGCTCAGATCCCTTCTGACCCTACTATGAAACTGTGATATTCCTTCAGCCAGTTCCATCTGCACCCTAGGATGAACTTCAGTCTGCTTTTTTTAATTCCTTCCAGTTGGTCAGGAGCACTCTCACCTGCTCTTTACTTATGAT